ATATATATATATACGTTGAGATGGATTTTTCAACAGCGCTGCTCTTTCAAACATCCCCCTGAACAATGGCCATATAGGCCTGTCATCGGACATGTTAACTGCTTCTTCTATGTGCACATGGAGCCACATCGGCCTTGGCTCATAGAGAACTGACATAAGGATCTTGAGTGAAATGCTGAATTAATCAAGACTTGACGTGGTCATCGATTTGCTGGTTATTTTTGTCCGATTTACCGACAGTTCTGCTGCATGCCGGTTTTTAACTCGTCCAAATGACCGGTGTATGCACTTTGAGATTTCAATACTTTCCTCCAAAATACTAACAGTGGTGTCCGAATTCCCAGTTTTACAAAAATGACATGAAAGCCACAAGGAAACAGAAGTTTTCGAATTAGGTACTGTATTTACGTGAAATTAAAAACATTACAGTCCTCCATCTTGGTTTCAACTTTCTGTTTATTTCTACAGGTCACCGTTGCTTCGCAAACTGTGGAAAAGGCGGAACAGTACATGACCCGTGCCGATGAAATCTTACGTAATGCGGGCTGTGACCTAGTTTTACCGAACCAGTCCTCCGGACTACCAACGAATGTGCCCTCCACACTGCCCACAAATTACATCGACACGGTACGAAGCGGACTGAGCGATCTCGGGCCCAGTCTCGCTCCCCTACTGCAAACCGTCCTCGATGAAACAATGGGAGTCGATCCCACAGGCCGACGTGGTTCGCTTCCATCGACACAGCGTGGTGGTATTTCTTTGTTGGAACAGAGGCTTTGTGAGAACTCAAAGCCCAGCTCCACCGAAGAATACGAGTTGGCTGAGCATTTAGACCCGATTTTGTGGCGTTTTCTAACTTTGTCAAAATTAGGAGATCCAAGCCAGGATGACTTTTCAATGGATGTATAACTTCTCGAGAGCATTTTTGACCGAACTCGCTTCCAATTAATTGCTTCTCTACTTGCATCCAGTCGAAATAAATGTTGAACTATCAATGACTTGGTGTTGTCGTTTCGCGTTAATAGACAAAATTATCCCACAGAGACCATCACTTGTTTGCCACGAAGTGGTCTTTCCGTCTGCAAACCCTTGTTGACCTATTTCAGTTTGCTCCATAAAAAACAGCTCTTCGTCATCGTCGTAAGCAATGGTACGCCATCAATGTTAAACACCGTTGTTTTACTGCTATACAACTATATGTTGCTTCAAAGCTCTACTGTTAAATCACAATAAAGGGAAAGAGGGAAAAGACTACGCTGAATTCCTCTGATATCCAAGGGGGAATTCAAGTCTCCATCCCTTCTAGGATTACCAAGTCATTCGAAAAATCTTCAGCAAGGATGTGGCTAGATTCACGACAGCTCAGCCATTAAAGTACTTCCCGTTTTTAGGACTTACCACCTGACGAGTTTCAGTTGGGATAAATACGCTCATATGGCTGAGATTTGTGTTCCAACTATATCGGCTATCCCTTTCTGACTTTCTACCAAATTCTCTCTTTGGACTGGTTTTAAATAAGAGAGAATTCCGACTCTATCCTTAGTCGATTTGTCTGATTAAGTAAAAATCCGGTTCAAACCAGGTTTTACAGCTCTCATTAAAAGTACTGATGAAACTCCTTAAGGTAACTCTTTCAAGTGCAACTTTATAGATTGGTTGATATTAAAACTGCGCACCATTCCACTGCTAGCAGAAAAAAAAATAGGAACACTAGTGTTCATAAGTATTCCACATAATGTATCAATATAAAGAGAATTTTCATTGTGAAACGCAGCAATTCGGAGAATGTCATCAAGTCAAGATGCCTACTTGATTCATGCAACAAGAATGGTGTGTGTCGCGCGACGACACCGCTGTTAACGATGACTACTCGCACTATCATTCTCTAAGCCAGGTTTTCGAAGGTCCCTATAGCAGTGCCTAATCGTTCGTCCATCACCCGATGCATGTGAGACAGGTACCCCGTTATTCGAGTTACCCTTGAACGTACAACTCACTAAAATACGTGATTGTCTGCATGTTCACAGAATACAATTGGAAATAAGTAAGCGCGTTTGCAGCACAGTCCGGGGATCGAATCCTTGTTCTTCAAGTGTGTTATAAGCTACTTAGTATGTTATGGTATATGTTCGCTTGTATCCAACCGAACACTCGTGACGTTCTTAAACAGCGGTATTACACAAAACTCTACAGAACTTTAGTCACCTATACTGACTTTGCGGCCACACTGTTCGCCGTGATAACATTACTTGAGGTGATTGCACCTCAAGTTTAAGTAACTGCATAGTCACACGGCAAAGTTTTCCACTTTACTTAAGTTTTACAGTTTGAATCCACAAAGAAAACTGGAAATTTGTGCGGCTTAAAGAAGAATGATAGAAGCGAGCCAGTTGGTCAAGACAGTTCCGCTTTCTCCTAATGGTCCAGAGTGACTGCAACTGCCATCGCGTTACGGTGCCTAGCCTCGGCCATGTCTTCTTTGTGCTCTTGGAAGGCGTAGCATTACATGGATTTATTTCACTTTACATTCATTTCACAAACGGGTGATCACAGCAGCTCCTCAATAGGCTGCTCTGTATCATCTCAGTTTCCCCGGATCGTGGGCATGAGATGTTGCAGCACAGATAATCTTAAGACCTTTCGCGGTTCGACGTTCAAACGCATGTGAACCCTCTTCATCCAAATTTAAAGACTGCTGCCCCGGGAGTATGGACACTGGCTCTCAGTTTCAAGATGTTGAATTTGACAAGTTTAGCCGATCTTGCGTAAGTTGAGTTTCCTGGTCTGTCCTGTGCAGACCGCGGTGAGTTGCTCAATTTGGCTCTCCACAACATTAGTATGTTAAGTATGGACACTTGTATAGCTTGGTCGCATCCACTCTCATCAATTCGTTCATGTTCTAGAAAAGAGCTTGATAGGTTCAGCTGGATTAGCTACTGGTTAGTAGAGGACTGCGATTGCGTGTGATGGTAGACCTATTAATTAAAGGTCTTCCTTGCTGCCATAGCCTAGCACATTGTGTTACATCGCTTTTTTTCATTTTTACGAAGAACTAATCATCCAACAATAATGCTCCCAATGCAGATGACTTCTCCAGCTGATTGGGTCAATTCTAAAGAGGGCTATGTCTCTCATCTCTCCTGTCATGTTTACTGTATAAATGTGAACAAACTAGTTCTTGTCCCAAGGGAAGTTCGCAAAAGCAAGAAGTGTGTGTCATAATGACCGAATACCGTCTTATATTGAGACAGCGATTGGTCAGCAGGGATTGTCGTGATGGTTGGTCTCATTAGCTCAGTGTCATCTGCTTGACAGCTAATCGTTTCTGCTCAGTGGGTGTGCGCGTTTTCTCCACGCTTAGTATTTGACTGAAGTAAACGGATAAAACTGAGATTAGTCCCCACTTAGAGAAAACTGAACACACATCTATCGCCGTCACATTGAGCTCATAAAATATTTCTTGAGATTTGATTTTGCAACTCAGAGCCTCCTGAGATTTCGACTTGAAGAGCACAGATTTGTAGTAGAGTGACGAATTTTATACGATTTAGATTATAGCTACTCGACTAACTAGGCCATAGGCTGAGAAAATCCAAAATAACGGATAGTCACAGTGAAATATATGGTCATATCTTGAGAAGCTCAGCGACAGTGCATCCTGGTCCCTGGTGAGAACCATCAGTTGGGCGCAGACGGATCTCATCGGTTTGAAACACTTTCAGACTGTTGTCAACCAATCCCGGCGTTCGCCCGAGTGTTTTCAGAGCTGATGTAATTTGTTTTCACTCACCTGTTGAGTTATTCAAACAGGGGGACCACTGGGGCATCGCTGCAACATCTTATCTCAATCGTGTATGTGACTAGAAATCTTCCACATGGTGAGTCTCATTTGGAAATGACTTATTCGTAATGGAATGTCCGGTTGAAAACTAGATTAACGCCTGGTGGATGGCTATCCCTCGTCATTCAGAATATTGCCAGTCAAGCCTAATATGCAACATGCTCTGGGTGTTACTTTTATGTTTGATTCAATAAAGAAACTTGGAGCGGTCAGTCTTGATGGGGTCGCTTCAGGTGGATGTAACAGTATTCAATTTCTCGATGTTCATGTCCAGAACTGTTATTCTTAATCCCGAAGTCAAGCGGTGATCGAATGCCCACTAGTAGTCATATTCCTAACGAATTTTGGCATCAAGAAAAACTCATTTGAATTGATATACGGTGTTCTCACAAATGAGGCTGGCGGTCACTTGGTGTTGGTACTAACGGTACGGCTCAATCCACAGAATGGGTCGTGAGGATGGAGCGCGTAATGGACTGCTTTCCAGAATCGACCACTTCTGCTCTAAATCAATCACTAAATAATTAAATGATTATTACATAGTGGTGTGAATCCGAGCAAAGACCATTTTGAACTTAGTCATATCAAAATGGCAAAACGTTTAAAAAAAATCCAGAAAGTAATCAGCTTCATTTTTAATAAGAGTAATTTTTGCTGACCAGCTGGAATGCACGTCGCTCATACCAGGCATTGTTAAGTACCCTCTAATGACCACATTTAGCGCAGTACATAAACCCTTTATGAGGAGGATTCATGCCATTCGTGCACTCTAAGCAGGGGCTTGTGGCTTAGAGCCAGGGTACGTTATAAACCCTCAAAATGAACGTGAACATAAACTTATTACAGAATAAAATAACAAGAGTGAATAATCCAATGACTGATATATGCAGACTGATGAAGATACTATCCCTAATTGATGCTTCGGAGGATCGGAAAACTCTAAATAGGATAACTCACGTGACACCCAGCTAAATCTCTCGTTTACGACCTTCTTTGTACCAGATGAAACTGCTTGAGTTGGTACAAAAAAGAAAATCATAAACGAGAAGTTCAGCTGGGATTCAAGTGAGTCGGTCGTGAAAACCGAGCTGGTTTGCTATTTGCCGAATTTCGTGCAATTTGGTGTCAGGCAGAACATAAGGTTGAGGGAAACTCGGGGACTGGGCCTACCCGACGACCCCAAAGAAGAGTAAAACCAGTCGTGGGCTATTGATGAGTTTTTAGCAACCTTATGAATAGTGCACCACTTCTAAGTGGGGTAGTTTCTCCAGATAAAGAACAGTGTTACTGGCTTCCTTACGCCTACTAAGATGCAAAAACTGGGACTGAGGCTATTGACTCAAGTTAAGAAGCATGAAAATTTTCAGTCAAAAGTCTGGACTACAGACGACCTTTACTGAACAAAAAATGAATGAATCCAGTAACCCTCTAATGAGACCGTTCCCCTGAAGAATCTCCGTCATCTACGTGAGCAGCATTCTTCTTTCCTAGAAGATGTCCGATGCTCTCTTGGGGATCGCTTATATTAACATTTGTTTATGTTGCCGATCAGAGTTGTTACCCCTGAGAATAGTCCTTCCTCCAAAAAAGTCAACACTACTTCGACCAGTCCCCATGCGTGGGCGTATTCGATGAGTGAATGTAGCCACGTGTCCTTATGCAGCTAACAAAATTTCGGCGTAGGTAAACCGTCACGAAGCTCAGATGCACCTGTCTCAAAAGTGCGGAAATCACAGCGTCGTCCTGAGGTCAGCAGCAAGGATAGTTTCTTTCGGATTCTTCGATAACCCACTGTGGCTTTCTTAACCCAAAAATATTAGGCGGTCGTGGGTGGCATTTTCGAAGATGAAATGGAATCAAGCTGAATGCTCAAACCAAAGAAAATACTGTTGAACGTAGAGGATTCATCAACCTCCTCAAAGTAATCGTCTTATTCGTATCAAGAAAGAAGTTTTTGGCCGTTCTAATGGTCCACTGCTTAAGAACAAAGCTGCTGGCAGTATCTTTTGTTTCACCTGTCTGAAGGAATCCAATTTAAATCAGTGTCTGTTTAGAAGAAAACCGCACGGTTACCATTGTTGATATTGACAGGTCACGTGCATGAGCGGCGGTCGCTTTTGAAAGCATCCAGCGATTTTCGGCTAGATAACCACGATCCCTTCACGACTCGGATGC